AAGTTTTATTAATTTTGCCTTCTTTTTTTTTTTCTAAGATTCTGCCTTCCCTAATTTGGCTTGACTTTTCTCTCAAAGTGATCCAAAATAAAGTTCTCAAGCTTAAAAATAAAAACTATTTCTTAACTTTGGATTGTGGTTGCCTTGATTTTTAAAATCTACGTCCTTAGTATTTCTATTATTTCAGGACCCATATGTTTTTAGAATACATTATACAAAATCAGTTCCTACTATGAAGGAAAATAGCACACTTATGTTTTGCTTTGAGCCATTTAGAGAAAATATTTACAACTCTTCACCCCAGGAAGCTTTCACTCTTCTGGGAGCAGTAAGAACTATTTTACTACACAAGACAAGATATAACGGAGTGCTCAGTCATCAAGTCTGGACTTCATAGTGGTAGCGATTCAGAAGAAAGAAATCAGGAGAGCCTACAGAGAGGAAAGGAGTCTTGAGCTTGAATACAGTATAGCATGTGGCATATCACATCAGAGGCAAGAAAGGCTGACTGGGACCAAGGAAGGCAGGACTTTATACGTGATGTGTCTGTGTGTGTCCATATATGGGTGAAGAATCACAATTTAAGAAATCCCCTACCCACGTCTTTTACGTTTTCACATATTTTCAGCACTTAAGCATACAACCTTGCATGCAGTAGATACCCAATAAAACTTAACTAAGTCAAATTATATTTTGGGGGTAACAGTTCCCTGTCCCTGGCCACACCTATATACTTTTCCATCTGTGACAGCACTTAAACATACAACCTTGCATGCAGTAGATACCCAATAAAACTTAACTAAGTCAAATTATATTTTGGGGGTAAAAGTTCCCTGTCCCTGGCCACACCTATATACTTTTCCATCTGTAACTATAGTGTTATTTGTCCATCTTATTGCTAACATGAAAACTGCATGCTCCTATGGCTTGCCCTGTAGCCTAGGAGTGCAGGGAGCTATGAATAGCACCCCCTTCATCTGTAAGCACCAGGTTAGAACTGGTTCTCTCCCTAGAGTAAGGCCTGATGCTCATACCCACTGAACTGACTGACAAGCCTGACTTGCCATCTATTTTTCCCCTCTGTTCTTGCTCCTCAACTACACGCATTATCTCCTAGGTAGTATAACCAGCTATTAAAAGGCAAACATCCTTCGTGGTATTCTATTTTGGGTGACAGGTAGATTAAGGAAGGAATGAAAAAGATTATAAGGTCCCTTCCCCCTATACATACAACCAAAACCAGTCTCTTTAAACATAGGTATATTTAAATGAGCCCAAATGCAAAACATTAAATTTTAGCTGAAATAAAGTCTACTTTGCATTTTACATAGAAATTCTTGCAAAGTACATTTCACTTTTCTGCCTAGGAGATGAACTATTAGGTACAATAGTATATATAGTTAGTACTTATCAAGCTTAGTGTCTGACTTCTACAAAAACCATTGACAGTTATTAAAAGTATCATTAAGTATGTAAAAACTTGAGAATTTCTAGAGAAATTGGAAGTAGGTAGAAGCATGTGCCTCTTCCTCTCAGACACACCGGCTAATCGTTTTGTACCTTGTGCTTAAGGTTCCAAGAGATCAATTTTTATTTTATTTATTTTTTGAGTTGGAGTCTCACTCTGTCACCCAGGCTAGAGTGCAGTGGCATGCTCTCGACCACTGCAGCCTTGACCTGCTGGGTCCAGGCGATCCTTCCGCCTCAGCCTTCCAAGTAGCTGGAACTACAGGCATACGTCACCATGCCCAGCTAATTTATTTTTTTATTGTTAGAGATAAGGTCTCGCAGTATTGTCCAGGCTGGCCTTGAATCACTAGACTCAGGCAGTCCTCTGGTCTCCACTTCCCAAAGTGCTGGGATTACAGGTGTGAGCCACCATGCCCAACTGGAATAGTTATTTTTAATTATAAAAGTAGCAGGTCTTGGGCATTATTTAAAAGAACATTTGACCAAGTTAGGAAAGAGCATGGAAAGAATATATTCTTGAGAATATCTTTTAAAACTGTGGAAAGGCTCCCATATGGGGGAACAAAAAACCTGGAATTATTTTTTTGGAGGATGGACCCCTAGTAGTACAAACTTGCCCTGCTAGGTAAGTGTTCTAGGAACCCGCTGGCATCAGTGTATCAGCTAGTGTTGTTGTGAGAGGCTATATTTGGCTTTAGTGAATTTATTTTGGAGATTGTTTCAACGCGTTTGCCCATTTCATGATGGGTGATTTACAGGCACATCTGCCCACATCGCACTGAGTGTTTAGCAGTTTTTGACCAAAAACAGCATGACTCCCTTGCCCTACCCTCCCTATTTACCCAATCTTGTCCTGAGTGACAGTTTTTTTGTTTTTTTTTTTGGTTTTTTTTTTTTTGCTTCCCTGGATGAAAAAAGTCCTCAAAGGGTAAAATTTTACCAATGTGGAAGAAGTGAAACACAAAACAGCAGAAGCACTAAAAGCCATCAAATTGAGTTTAAAAACTTTTGGGCAGTAGAAAAAGCATCATGATAAGTGTATTGTATCAAACCAAGTACTTTGAAGGTGACTGAAGTTAAACTTGTAAGAACAAATACACAATTTTTAATAAATATATTCTGGGTCTTTTTTTTGGTCCTCCCTTGTAGAACTTTTTAATAATAAATATTAACTAAGGGCAACCTCCTCGGGTCCCATTCCACTGTGGGAGTTTTTCTATCCTCTTAATCTTGCTTTCTCAAAAAAATAAATAAATATCAAATAAGTTAGGGATAAGAGAGGCAATTTGAGATTCACTGAGCTGATGTAGGGTATTAATGAAATTTTATTTTTCTACTGAATAAACTTGATCAGACAGGAATTATGAGTAGATTTGCAGAATATGTCAGAGAATAACTTAGTCTATCGTTGAAGGGTGGCTTCCTGTTGAACATGGTCATTATTTTATTGCTTTCCTTTTGTGGAGTACATTTTCTCTAGGAGAACAAGTAAAAAATATTTCCCCCTAGTTTTTCAATGTCCATTGAGTAGAACTGAAATTTCAGGAAGGTGTTATATTTACCCTATAGTTTTATGTGCCTACCAGTAGGTATACCACTGAGTAAACAAGAGGGACATTGATCCTAATTTGAGACTAAAGTCCTAAGCGATTAAAGCTCAGTTTGGAGATTGTTTCAACACGTTTGCCCATTTCATGATGAGTGATTTACAAGCACATCTGCCCACACTACACTGAGTGTTTAGCATTCATCTTTGTCAGGAGTCAAAGTATTCTACATTAGGGGCTCTTCCCTTCCAAAGAGACGATTCCTGATGTTCTATGATGCTTTGATTTAATCCAATGAATGTTGAATGAAACACTGGATACTAGCATGATGACATACTACTCACATTTTCTCAAAAGGAACTCAACATTAATATTCACGCATAGTGCTTTGCTTGGTGAGACTGGGAATTGTTTGCATTCCTCTCTGGCCCTGATTATTTTTAGAAAGCAGCAGGAATGCTGTGGCTTCCTTTCTCAAAAAAAGGGAAGGTCCAAGACACTATAGCATTCTCCTATACACCTACCTGGAGCAGTGGCACAGGATCCTTGGATGCCATCAAACAGTGAGGAAACACTGGCGCTGTGAACAGCCCTTATTGTAAGGTACTAGGAGGTGCTCATTTTTAATCACTGGGGAGACTACTCAGAAAAGATTATTCAAGTTTATCTTAATAAATAACACAGTTTTAGAGTCTGGCTGACTACATTGGCTCAACTGAGTGTTTATAGAAAATACCTCATAGAAATCTACAAAATACCTCTGACTTTATCCTGTATCAGTAGGATAATAGCAGTTTGAGCTTAATATATTCATTGATTCTTTATCTCACTCTATACATCTGGCAGGAAAGGAATGGAGATATTTACATTGGAAAAGAAGCTTTTTAAAAATAACAACTGGCTGGGTACAGTGGCTTACCCCTGTAATCCCAGCACTTTGGGAGGTGAAGGTGAGAGAACTGCCTGAGCCCAGGGGTTTGAGACCAGCCTGGGCAACCTGGCGAGACATAATCTCTACAATAAATCAAAAAATGTGCTGGGTGTAGTCACTCAAGCCTGTAATCCCAGCACTTTGGGAGGCCGAGGCAAGAGGATTGCCTGAACCCACTGATTCGAGACCAGCCTGGACAAGCTGGCAAGATCTCATCTCTACAATAAATTTAAAAAAAAAAATTAGCCAGACATTGTAGCTCGTGCCTTTGGTTCCAGCTATTTGGAAGACTGAAGCAGAAGGATCGCCTGAGCCCAGCAGGTGGAAGCTGTGGTGGCCGTGAGCATGCCACTGCACTGCACCCTGGGCAACAAAGTAAGACTCTGACTCAAAAAAAAATTAAATTAAATTTAAAAATAACAACTGAAGCCGGGCTCAGTGGCTCAGCCTGTAATCCCGCACCTTTGGGAGGCTGAGGTGAGTGGATTGCCTGAGCCCGTGGGTTCGAGATCCGCCTGGGCAACTTGGCAAGACCTCATCTCTACAATAAATCAAAAAATTAGCTGGGTGTGGTAGCGCACGCCTGTAGTTCCAGCTACTTGGAAGGCTGAGGCAGAAGGATCACCGGAGCCCAGCAGGTCGAGGCTGCGGTGGCTGGGAGCGGCCACTGCAGTCCAGTCTGGACAACAGAGTGAGACTCCAACTCAAAAAAAAAAAAAATAACAACTGTGCTTATTTTAGAATGTTCTGTATTGTTATCCATAACAAGAGGAATAGAAGCCAGGGTGATAGTGGTATATCCAGTTATATTTAAGTTTACTTTAGGGCCAGAGAAGACCCAAAGCAGCCATGTGCCTTCCTCTTGCCCTCTGCTCCATCTAACCAACATTCTGAAAAAAATCACACAAAATTAAATTGGTAATAGTCTAGACATGTATATGTGTATTCCATAGATTAACATATATTTTGTGTCATATTAACTGTATCCCTGCCCTGTCCTTTGTAGTTATATTTTTTCCTTACTGAAAGCTTCCTGTCCTATCGTGTTACAGGATTATAGCTGGACAGACATCCGCTGCCCCTTTGAAAAGCGAAGAGATGCAGCATGTGTGTTTTGGGACAACGTAGTATACATTTTGGGTGGCTCTCAGCTTTTCCCAATAAAACGAATGGACTGCTATAATGTGGTGAAGGATAGCTGGTATTCCAAACTGGGTCCTCCAACACCTCGAGACAGCCTTGCTGCCTGTGCTGCAGAAGGCAAAATTTATACATCTGGAGGTTCAGAAGTAGGTAAGGACTTCTTAAGTATTTTGGTTCAGGGCAAGTTCTTTAAATCCAAGTATCTTGGCTTTCATATTTCAATAAACAGTTGGCTTTGTCCAGATACTTTTTGGTAATTCAAATACATGACTGGCCGGGTGCTGTCACTCATGCCTGTAATCCCAGCATTCTGGGAGGGCAAGGTGGGAGAACTGCTTGAGCCCAGGAGTTCAAGACCAGCCTAGGCAACATTGTAAGACCTCATTTCTACAAAAAGCCAAAAAAAATTAACTGGGGATGGTGGGGCGTGTCTATAGTCCCAGCTACTTGGGAGGCTAAGGCTGAAGGATTACTTCAGTCAAGAGTTTGAAGCTGTAGTAAGTTGTGATTGTGCCACTGCACTCTAGCCTGGGCAACTGAGTAAGACCTTGATTAAAGATAACTAAGTAAATAAATACATGTCTGTCAGTCACATTTTAAAGTCCATTTCCCTGAAGGTTTATCTTACTCCTTTACAGATAATTAATTTACAAGAATTTTAGCTTCCTAGATTATGTTAGTTGCCCATACTTTTTTAATATGATGAAGCATGTTTTGACACCATCTGAATTACTATTTTTTAAGTAGGGGTCTCTGTCACCCAGACTGGGGTACAGTGGCACAATCGCAGCTCATCACAGTCTCAAACGCTTGGACTCAAGCCATCCTCCTGCTTCAGCCTCTCAAGTAACTAGAATTACAGGTGCATACTACCACGTCCAGCTAATTTTTTTTTTTTTTTTTTTTTTGTGGAGACATGGTCTCACTGCATTGCCCAAACTGGTCTCAAATTCCTGGGATCAAGCAATCCTGCTGCCTCAGCCTCTCGAAGTGCTGGCATTCTAGGCATGAGCCACCATGCCCACCTTGAATTTTAGTTCTAATTCAGTTGTTTTGAGTACATAATATTACTTGTTTTAAAAATTTCAGAGTTTGACATACTCAAAGACCCTTTAAGGCCCTACTGCAATTCATGCTTTTGAAAACCTTTATTCTTGGCTTTCTTTTTTATCAGAAAAAAGAATGATCTTTTCATTTGCTTTAAGTTTTTAATCTAATGATTGGTAGAGACATTTTATGCTTATTGAGCAGAATGGGATGTAGGTGTGACTATAAAAACCTTTTTCATCGGGTAGCATTAACATTTGTTAATGTCTAGTAGTGGTCATTTTCTTTTCCTTTCTTTTTTTTTTTAATTTTTTTTTTGTGGAGTCTTTAGGGTTTTTTTTTTTTTTTGGTTTTTTGTTTTGGTTTTTTGAGTTGGAGTCACTCTGTTGCCCAAGCTGGAGTGCAGTGGCATGCTCACAGCCACCCCAGCATCGACCTGCTGGGCTCCAGCTATCCTTCCGTCTCAGCCTTCCAAGTAGCTGGAACTACAGGCACATGCTATCATGCCTGGCTAATTTTTTTTTAATTTATTGTAGAGATGAGTTCTCGCCAAGTTGTTTTGGCTGATCTCGAACCTGCAGGCGCAGATAATCCACTTGCCTCAGCCTCCCAAAGTGCTGGGATTACAGGCTAAGCCACCAGGTTTTTAAATGAATAGTCTAGGCACAGACTAGGCACATAATTTCATGCTTTCATCTTTTCAAGTAATTTTTTTTAGCTTAAATAATGGACTTAGAGTTTATATACAAAAAAGATGGAAGACCAAGTAAACATAAGGTGCTATAGCTATTATAGAATATTAAATAAGCCCCAGAATATTACCAGGTAGTATTTCTCATATTTTTATTTTAAGGTGTGGGTTTACCATCTGTAAGCAGCTATGCTTTTTCTGCTCCATATAAACATTTGAAGTTTGGGTAATTCCCATCATGCGCAACCATGCTTAAGGACATATATAATGTTTCTTACTTAATTTTTTAAAAAAATCAAGCTGATTTCTTTTTCTAAAGTTTTATTACCAATAAATAAATCTTTCTAGCAGATTCTTTTTTGGATTTTTTCCAGGTTCTATACAAATAGGATTATTAACTTTTTCTTAAATGATTCCTATATTTTGTTGTTGACTATCAGTTGACTCTATAACCTTAAACTCTTCTCCTAAGTTACTCAGCTCTATGCTTACTTTACTCCAAACCCACACACACTAAGTTAGGCATAATGGGGTCTTTTTCTTTTACAGGAAACTCAGCTCTGTATCTATTTGAATGCTATGATACAAGAACAGAAAGCTGGCACACTAAGCCCAGCATGCTGACTCAACGATGCAGCCATGGGATGGTGGAGGCCAATGGCCTCATCTATGTCTGTGGTGGAAGTTTAGGGAACAATGTTTCTGGGAGAGTGCTTAATTCTTGTGAAGTTTATGATCCTGCCACAGAAACGTACGTATCAATTTAAAGCACAATTATATTTCATAAGCTCAATAAAATGATGTCAAAAGGCAGAAGGAATCCAACAGAAGAATTTTGTTCTTGAGTTAAGATTGTACAGAAACTTTTTGAATGTGGCAAGAATAGTGGCATGTTAAAGACCTGGGCCTTTCCTTTACGCCTAAGGTAATGACTTGACCTTATGCCCCACTGAAGCCCATCTCTTTCTTATCCTATTTGTGCAATAAACACCTGCAAATGAGATACATCCAACTGATTCATCAAACTCAAAATGTTTTTGAGATGTCAGAAAATGTAGGGGACAAGGGGGGAATAATTTATGATCAGTAGTAAATTTGCCCTTAAATGGAAATATTGGCTCATGGCATTAATAATCACGCCCCTGTGTCGTTTTGAATTTATACTTCCTGAAGTATGTTTGAATTTACATTGATTGATTTTTCAGTCAGGGTCTCACTCTGTCACCCAGGCAACATGACCCCAGTGGCATGATCCTGGCTCACCACATCCTCTGCCTCCTGGGCTTAGGTGATCCTTCTGCTCAGGCTTCCGAGTAGCTCAGATTACAGATACACACTACCATGCTTCGCTAATTTTTTATGTTTTGTAGAAGCAATGCCTCACCATGTTGCCTAGGCTGGTCTTGAACTCCTGGCCTCAAACCATCCTCCCGCCTCAACCTCCCAAAGTGCTGGGATTACAGGAGTGAGCCACTGCTCCCAGCCTGGATTCATATTTATTAAGTACAATGATTAGTAAATCAACTGGGAAACAGCTTCTAAAAAGGCAAAATGCCTAAGAAAGCTAAAGAAATAACTAGTTAGCCAGTTTTTCTGACCTTGTAGTTAATGATGGAACCCACTCAGTGTGGCCAAAGGACATGTGTTCATCAGTAAATAATGGGGGTGGTGATGAGTGCAGTGATGCTAATGGGGAAATCAAGCAGAAGATCTTCCCATCATACCTTCTGTCAGAATATCCAAAGAGCTTTGACCAGAAAAGCTGATCATAGCCGGGCTCGGTGGCTCAGCCTGTAATCCCGCGCCTTTGGGAGGCTGAGGTGAGTGAATTGCCTGAGCCCGTGGGTTCGAGACCCGCCTAGGCAGTGAGACCTCATCTCTACAATAAATCAAAAAATCAGCTGGGCATGGTAGCGCATGCCTGTAATTCCAGCTACTTGGAAGGCTGAGGCGGAAGGATTGCCAGAGCCCAGCAGGCGAGGCTGCGGTGGCCGGGAGCGGCCACTGCACTCCAGTCTGGGCGACCAAGTGAGACTCCAACTTAAAAAAAAAAAAAGCTGATCATACGGCTACATTGCCCATTATTCTTCCTTTACCAGGGCAAATTACGAGTAAATATGTTCAACTTGAATGTTTTACCAAGGAGGTACAACAAAACTCTTGTGCTTTAAGTCCTCTTTTTGGAAGATATTGCCAGACAACAAAACATGGAAGTCTTCCACTCTAGCTACTCCTTTTGTTTAAATTATGAGATAAGAGCTCAATTACAAAATATGAACAGTCATGTACATTTATCTATTTATATTTTCTACCTCTTTTTGTTTGTTTGTTGTTGTTCTTGAGATAGGATCTCACTCTGTCACCCAGGCAGTATAGTGGCATGATCACAGCTCACCATAGCATCGAACTCCAGGGCTCAAGTGATCCTCCTGCCGCAGCCTCCCAAGTAGCTGGGACTACAGACATGCACTACCACGCGTGACTAATTTTTTATTTTTTGTAGAGACAAGCTCTCACTTTGTTGCCCAGGATGGTCTCTAATGCCTCAAACAGTCCTCCTGCCTCAGCCTCACAAAATGCTAGGATTACAGGTGTGAGCTACGACACCTGGCTTTCCTACCTATTTTATTTTATTTTTTGAGTTGGAGTCTCACTCTGTCACCCAGGCTGGAGTGCAGTGGCACGCTTACAGTCACCACAGCCTTGACCTGCTGGGCTCAGGCAAGCCTTCCGCCTAAGCCTTCCAATTAGCTGGAACCACAGGTGTGTGCTACTATGCCTGGCTTATTTTTTGATTTATTGTAGAGATGAGGTCTCACCAAGTTGCCCAGGCTGGTCTCGAACCCATGAGCTCAGGTAATCCTGCACTTCTGCCTCCCAAAGTGCTGAGATTACATGCGTGAGCTGCTGTGCCCAGCTTTGTATATTTCAAGATAGCTAAAAGAGAAGAAAAGATAAATGTGCTGATGAATATCCCAGTTACTCTGATTTGACCATTATGCGTTGTATATAAATATCACATGTACCCCCAAAATATGTACAACTATTATATATCAATTTTAAAAAATCAAAATTTAAAAAAGATAGAAGACACTCATAATAAAAAGATCATTTAGAGGAACAATCTGAAGAAAGAAAAAAGAAATTAAGCCTATTTAAAAAACATGACACAGTTTGAACAGTGAGAATTTTAAGAAAAGCTTCTAAACATTATAAACTTCAGACTGGAGAGGGCAGGGACCTTATACACATTCTGCATGTGAGTTACAGGAAGAAGGGGGTTTGTAAAACTTTTCTTAACCTTCAGGAGATTTAGATATACATTAAACATGCTCTTCCCTTCTGTTAACATAGTACTTGGAGAAGAAAAAGTTCTGTAAATTGAATTTTTCTGAGTCAAATACAGGGTTTAATGCATGATGACAGGGTTCTATGGAGGTTCCTATGTGGAGAGGCAGTGAAGCCCCACTACTCGCTAGCACTCCCACTTCCACACTGCACTCTAGTTATTTCACCAGGATGATCACCTGTGTATGCAGGAGCCATGCTGCCCGCCTCACTTCATAGAGGGCTCTGAAAACAAGAGTGTTAAGCCACTACTTTTATAACTCCCCATAAATGTAAGACAATAAGAGGATTATTAATATTTTGGAGTTAATTATGCCCTAATTATGTTTTATAGCATTATTCATCAAATTGCTTTAAAAACATGAATACTCATTTTAGAGAGTGATGCTTATGCCAAGTTTCCCTTTTGTTATTGTTGGTGGTTTGGAGCCTTTTGGTTAATGTTAGCAACTAAGAGCACAAGCCTGTGTGCCAGGACCACCCTCACAATCACAAATGACAGACATGGGCGTGTATGGGAGAAAAAAAAGAACTAAATACAGCTGTCTGTGTCTATGTATGCAATGCTGCCTGTGAATTAATATCCTTCAACACTGTGTCCACATTTATATTCTCGATTCCATCTGTTTGTTTGTTTTTTGAGTTGAGGTCTCTGTCACCCAGGCTACAGTGCAGTGGCATGCGTGATCAATGGCTCACTGCAACCTTAGCCTCCTGGGCTCAAGCAGTCCTTCTGCTTCTGCCTCCCAAGTAGCTGTAATTTTAAAAAATTTTTTTTTAGAAATGAAGTCTCACTATGTTGTCGAGACTGGTCTTTCCTGGGCTCAAGCAATCCTCCTGCCTTGGCTTCCTGAAGTGCTGAGATTCCAAGCATGAGCCACCGCACTCTGCCAGTATCATTATTTATAATAGTAACTGTGAGCACAACAACATAAAAGTTCTTAATATTGGTTTTAAAATGGACATATGAATAGTAACAGATGCTACCAATGTGCTAATTGCCTGAGGCCCATTATAAGTTTGTGTTTTACTTAGACATACATAATATTAATTACATCTGTAATTCCAGCACTTTGGGAGGCCAAAGAAAGAGGATCACTTGAGGCCAGGAGTTCAAAACCAGCCTGGGCAAGATAATGACACCCTAGATCTATTTTAAAAAAGAAACTACATGTAATAGAATTTGTATTTTATATTTTCTTAAGTATCTTTTCATTCTTTTTTGTTGTTGTTGTTGTTACCATTTTACAGATTTTTACAAATGACAGGAAATGGATATAAGAAATATTCAAATAGAGGATATAAGAAATATCCTCTATTTACCAGAAATTAAAGGAAAACAATTTCTGTGTACCTCACCTACAAATAAGTTGCCCATAATTATTGTTAAACTAGTGTTTTTTACTTTTCCAGACCTTGTATATATGTGTATGTACACATGAGTAGCAAATGAGCACTTAATTAGGAAAATAGACCTTTCTTATTAGTATTAGTGCTTTTACTTCCATGAATGAGCACACTATAAACTTGATTTTTTTCAGATGGACTGAACTTTGTCCAATGATTGAAGCCAGGAAGAATCATGGGCTGGTATTTGTAAAAGACAAGATATTTGCTGTAGGTGGTCAGAATGGTTTAGGTATGTGATATTTATTCACTATCTCACTTTCCTGATGAGTTTGCTGATAGTTCCTCAAATTACTGAAGCACATCTTAAAGTATAGAAAAAGCATTTACCTCATTCATCATTATATCTATTTTTATAGTTTTTGGTAGCTAACATTTGATAAAAAAAACAATTTGGGACATTATTACCACTATTATTAGGTTGGAGTTTCACTCTGCTGCCCAGGCTGGAGTGTAGTGGCATGCTCACAGCCACCACAGCCTCAACCTGCTGGGCTCAGGCGATCCTTCTGCCTCAGCCTTCCAAGTAGCTGGAACTACAAGTGTGCGCTAATTTTTCTTTATTGTAGAGATGAGGTCTCACCAGTTTGCCCAGGCTAGTCTCAAACCTCTGGGCTCAGGCAGTCCTCTCACCTCTGCCTCCCAAAGAGCTGGGATTATAGGCGTGAGCCATTGCATACGGCAAATGTGGGACATTAAACATCCCTGTTGATGACATGTCAGTAGTGGCCACCAATCATTGTGACAAGCTCAGCTGCCTCCTGTACATTTATATTATAATATTCCACATACCCCTTGGGGAGTGTGGAATATTTTTAAATATCTGAACTTTTTAAAAAGTTTAAAACTTTTTAAATACAAATTTTAGGACTTGTATGCAGGTTCTAAATGGCAACACTTCCTAAATATTTTTAAGCATTGAATGAAGATATCAATATTATTATTTTTTAAATGACTAAATTTGGCCATTTTATTGTATTGTGTTTTATTTTATGACAGGGTCTTACTCTGTCACCTGGGCTGCCTATGACAGGGTCTTACTCTGTCACCTGCAATCCTGGCTCACTGCAGCCTCAACCTCCTGGGCTCAAGTGATCCTCCCATCTTAGCTTCCCAAGTAGCTGGGACTACAAGCAAGTGCCACCACACCCAGCTAATTTTGTTTATTTTTTGTAGAGAAGAGGTCTTGCTATGTTGCCCAAGCTGGTCTTGAACTCCTGGACTCTAGCAATCCTCCTGTCTCAGCCTCCCAATATGCTAGGATTATAGGAGTGAGCCACTGTGTCTGGCCTTATGTTCTTAAATAGTGATATGGTAAAGAATATTAAATAACTCTCTTAAATGTTAGGGAGTTCGAACTGAATCTGGAGATATTTCCCCAAATTTCATTTTAGTCATGTAGTGCATTTAAGCATTACTTAAGTATAACAAATAACTTCTTTTCCTTCTCCTATTCCCATTCATTGCTATTTTCTATAAACTGTTAAAAGATTTAAAAAAAGACATTAGAATAATTATAATCAGAGTTAATCAGAGGGCAAATCACTGACTGGTTTACATTTTTATTTTCCAGGGTAGCACATTTTACATTTTGTAAAAAACAAAATCAATATTTAAAAATTAAGTTTCTAATGTGTTAAAGTAAGAATAAGAATTTAGGTGATGGAAACGTGGGCTTTCATTGTAAAATTCTTACAACTTTTCTGTATGTTTGAAAATGTTTATAATAAAATGTTGGAAAAAATACAAAAAAATTAGGATATCTTAGAATTGTTCATATGGTTTTTCATGTTGTTTTATTCTTTTGAAGGTGGTCTGGACAATGTGGAATATTATGATATTAAGTTGAATGAATGGAAGATGGTCTCACCAATGCCATGGAAGGGTGTAACTGTGAAGTGTGCAGCAGTTGGCTCCATAGTTTATGTCTTAGCTGGTTTTCAAGGTGTGGGTCGATTGGGACACATTCTCGAGTACAATACTGAAACAGACAAATGGATTGCCAACTCCAAAGTCCGTGCTTTTCCAGTCACAAGTTGTTTAATTTGTGTTGTTGATACCTGTGGAGCAAATGAAGAGACCCTTGAAACATGAAGAATGAGGGGACTTCATCCTCATCAGAGACTCAAAAATATGGCCACCAGTGCTTTGTTCCAAGAGTTTGGTTACAAAGTTTTGGTTTGGTGTTTTCGTAAAGAAAGTTTCAAGTGAAGTAAGGTCCCTAATAAGATAGATATTTCTTTTATATGGATTTTCTTACTTAGTTCAAAGAACATATTTTAGCTGGCCACAAAACAAAGAAATAGCAAGAAAACTTGAAAAGTTATAAGCATTTAGTGAATATACGAATTTCTGGAATGAATTTCACATTTGTAACTGATTTTGGCAGATTGCAAGATTGGCTTATTAGTGAAGCAGCCTCATCTTAGCTCTAGATTCTGTTTTCATACATCACAGAAGTGCTATGTGGTTAGGTCCGTTTCTGTTCAGTCCAAGAACTAGGAAATAGTTCCGTTGTTTTTTGTTTTGATTTTTAAGAGACAGGGTCTCACTCTGTCTCCCAGGCTGGAGTGCAATGGCACAATCATAGCTCACTGAAGCCTCAAACTCCTGGGCTCAAGCAATCCTCCTGCTTCAGTCTCCCAAGTAGCTGGAATTACAGGAGTGTACCACCATGCCCAGCTAATTTGTTTTATTTTTTTGTAGAGACAGGGTCTCGCTATGTTGCCCAGGCTGGTCTCAAATTCCTGGTCTCAAGCAGTCCTCTTGCTTCGGCTTCCTCAAGTGTTGAGATTACAGGTGTGAGCCACTGTTTCTAAGAAATAGTATGAGTTGTAAGTCAAGATGAGCAACTCTGATGGAACAGCTTTGTCTCCATAGTTTTGCTTGTCTTCATTTGTTTCATTTTGTGCCAAATGTACTTAATTTTAAAAGTCAGTCAGCGTGAATCAAGGCATATACACACACTCACAAAACTTCATAAACAGATTTTGGGACTTAATGTGTTAAACTCCTCATGAAATATATTCAGTCCAATTAAATATGTTCCATCTTTTTTTTTTTTGACTTGGAGTCTCACTCTGTGGCCCAGGCTGGAGTGCAGTGGCACACTCATGGCCACCTCAGCTTCGACCTGCTGGGCCCAGGCGATCCTTCCACCTTAGCCATCCAAGTAGCCAGATACAGGTGCGTGCTACCATGCCTGGCTAATGTTTTGATTTATTGTAGAGATGAGGTCTTGCCAAGTTGCCCAGGCTGTTCTCAAACCTGTGGGATCAGGCAATCCCCTCACCTTGGCGTCCCAAAGTGCTGGGATTACAGGCTTGAGCCTGTTCCATCTTTTTAACATGAAATGTTAAACTTAGCACCCATCGATTTATGTCACTGTTTCAAAAAGTGACATAGTGGTTCAAAAAGGATTCTGTCTCTTCAGTCCTCACTGTTAAATAAAGTTCAATCATAATAATCATGCCAACAATGATTAACTAGCAAAAGGTAAAACTATTTATAGCAGATTTCTAGATCATTAGAAAAGCACTGATAATGTGTCACAAAATCAGTACTGATTTTGAACTTCTTTAAAAAGATACATGATTTATTTTCCCTTAGCAGAACACATCAAAGGTATTTAACCTAGTTGTCTCTAGAAGTTTTATAAAAATGAGTTCAATATATATCATCTCCTATTCATTGCTTTTATGTGGTTAATAAATCTTTTACAAACCAATTCTTCATTACTTTCCTGGCAATACTTTGCCCTTTTCACTATGTATGGAATGAGCCATATAAAGCTGTCATCATCAATGTTTTTATCTGGTAATATTAAATATTTTTAAACTTGAAATAGATCACTCAATTTTATTCATTCTTCTTTTTAAATGTGTTAGGTAATGGTTTTTAGAATTTGTGAAGCAATGTCTCTCTTAATTTTCACCATTTTTCTTATATGGAAGTTATAAGAGTCTTAACCCCCAAAAGTGTTTAAATCAGAGGAATTAGAAAAAAAGTAATAATGATAGTTATTTTTGTATTTATATAGGGTTTTTAAATGTACAGAACAGACTTATTGAGATATAATTCACATAGCAAACAATTCACCCATTTAAAGTGTACTAGTCAGTGGTGTTAGTGTATACATAGAGTTGTGCAGCCATCACAATTTTAGAACATTTTCATCATTCCAAAGAAGAAACCCTGTGCTCATTACCAATAGCTCTCTATTTTCCCCCTGTATTAGTTTCCTAGGACTGCCATAACAAACTTCCACAAACTGGGTGGCTTTAAACGACAGAAATTTGTTCTCTGACAGTTCAAGAAGCCAGAAGTCCTAAAGGTGTCAGCAGGGTTGGTTCCTTCCAGAGGCTCTGAGGCAGACACTGCCCATGCCTCTCCCTAGCTTCTCGTGGTTGCCAGTAATCCTTAGTATTCCTTTGCTTGAAGCTGCATCACTCCAGTCTCTGTCATCACATGACCTTTTCCCCTGTGTGTTTCTGTATCTTCACATGGTGTTCTTATAGGGACAACAAAGCATCCCCTCCATTCTAGTATGACCTCATTTTAACGAGTTACATCTGTAAAGACCCTATTTACAAATGAGGTCACATTCTTAGGTTCTGGAAGACATGAATTTTGAGGGTCACCATTCAGCCCAGAAACCCCCCCAGACACCATGGACAACCACTAATTTACTTTGTCTCTAGATATTGCTGCTCAACATTTTAATGTAGAGTTTTGGATTTTGCATTGAAAATAAACATGTGGCTCTTTTTTTAGGTCAAAATATCCAATTATCATATTACAATATTGTTAATAATAATAATTAATTAAAATATTAATTTAATGTGATAATCTCCCATGTGGAATATACAGCACTGTAAAATATTTTAAGTGCACTAGCTCTCATTCTTAGGCTGTTGTTAACTGACTAGAACACACTATAATAAATGTGTAGACAGGTTTGATGTAGATTTATAATGAAATTGGTTTTTTTCCCCCTTAGTGATCTGTATCATAATTCCTAATTAGTGTCTTTTTTTGCCTTGGAAATATTCTGCAAAATTGTCAATGCCAGGATAATGGATAAAAGTACACCATACTGACAAGTACAGTTTCAGTTCCCCCCCAAATTCCTATCCTGTAAAGTGTTCTGTTTCTTTTTAATAGACATTTGATATGCTAATGTTACATCCTTTGCAGTGACACTATTTTGATAATGCATTAATTCAGTTTATACTTTGGAAAATCTTAATTTGAACATGAAAGTTTAGCATCTTAAAACTGTTGCTATTAAAAAAATATTAACTACAATTGTGACTTTGTGGCCTAGCTGTCAAAAACTTAGTCCCATGAAAATGTCATGAATTACTGACATGACAATATTATTAACAAAAACAAGACGTGCCATTTAATAAAAATTATTCAACCAAGCAGACTCTATTTCTTTCTGCCTTATATACAGTTAACAGCAAAATTTTTTGATTTGCTACATATGCAAGAATAAAGGAGAGATTTGGAGGAAATTCGTATTTCCAGGATTGATGCACTTAACATATACCGAAGACTTGAGAAAATCCAATTTACTTCTACATGGCACCAAATCAGCATTTCACTAAGTTAAAATAACTTGGTAACATGAAAGGACATGTTTACAGGTTGCATCATTCAATACTTGATAAATCCTTTAAATATCCACCTTCTTCTTTACAGTTGCCTCAAAGACTTAAGCTTGAATCCACTTTCGTCTTCCAAACTCCTTCCCAAGATGATTCAAACCACTTTAGGAAAAATCAAAATCTGTGCTGAGAAACTGCCTGTTAATCTTATTAATTAGAAAGCGTTATACTCTGCAGAGCTTTATGCCCTCTCTCATAACAAAGATGTAAAAGGGGGTTCAAGATCTAGTTTGAGTTTCCCCCAACTTTATCTTCTAACATCTGTATAATTTATTCCTGTATCCATGTTTTTTTATGATTGTTCTTTTATATATAGTATGTTGTGTGGTATGTTCTTTCTAGGGACATTTTAGTTTACCTATTTTTATACTTTTGGTATTTTTGTTTTCTTTCATTTTTTGTTTGATTTGCTCTTTCCTGTTGGAATCTACCCTCAAATATCTGGTCCCTGCCTATACATTTATATTTAAAATGAGACATTAAAAATGAATAATTTGGGGGTATAAGAATAAGTTTAATAATCAGTGCACTTCATTATGTGAGGGAATGTCAAGCTATTTTAGTGGGGGGTCCATAGGAGACCATAAGGTGTTTTTTCTAGGGTTTCTAATTCTCCGGAAAATCTTCCAATCTCCTGCCCCTTGGGAGAGGGAGGAGGGCAATCTGGGAAGAGAGGGACTACAAGCCTGGCCACTCTTCTTGGGAGAGTAGACGCTAAGTCACCGTTCAGTAAGCATAAGCCCTCTGTGTACCCGATGTTCTAGAATCTGAAATCTCTTTTGTTCCTTTTTATCAAGAAAGAAACCTGTCTCCTATCAGGTTTGGATAGTTGCCTTTTTGGAGAGAAGTTCTAATCACCCCTCATACAGATTTCCACACAATCCACACTTCTGTAGTCTGGTAGCCCTTAATTCCTGAGGTTTATTGGCCACCTCTGGGTACTCAGTCTCCACCTTACAGAAATTTAATATGACTTTCCACTCTTCCAAGTAATTTACAATCTACTCTTCTTACAATGTGTATTCAGCCTTCATAAATTGTGGTTCCAGATTTATGGACAATTTGTATGATCACAGATGGTGTTTTTTTCTTGCCTTCCTTCTTGAGATGACTTCGAAGAGGAAGAGGAAGCAAAAATATTTTTACTGTGCCATATTAAATTAGGAGTTTCCTTCCTATTACCCCACTGTGCTGATTTCCACATATATCCCTCACCAAACTGATCACTACCAAGTTCTGCAAGTCTCAGCCCTAGGCTCTCATTTCACACAGCACTTTACCTAGACAATCTCAACCAGGATTCTGGCCTTGCCTCTTTTCACCTTCACTGAGTACCAGGCTTACCCCCATTCAAGCTCCAACCACCACTGGTATTATTTTAAGAGTTTGATTGCAGCAAAAATCCTTATGCATGCTAGCATTTGCTAAGATGAGAAGTCAGTGGCTACAAAGAGATACAGATTAATAAAAGGAGATAAATATACTAAGGCTAATGGAAACCAAGTTTCTACCAAAGAAGAGGGTTAGAAATATAGGAGGAAAATACAAATAAAATGAATCCTGTGACCTTGAATTGGAATTAGAGATTATTTATGTGAGCTCATAGTTTTCAATATATATAGTTGCAGAAGAAATATGTAAGTGTGTGTGTCTGCATAGTATTTCCTAGGAATGTCCATGAAAAGGCCTAGGAGCAAAGACATCACAATAGCAATGAGCACACTTGGAAATCAGATCTTCGTTTCTAAGAACTACAAAGGACTCAGGGCTCCTTGGAGAAAGAACTGATTCCAGAACTGGAGTGGAGACAGTGTAAAAATTACCCTGGAGCACCTCTTTGTGCCAGAGGTAAAGAAGTGCTCAAATAATTATGGGGACTTTTAGTCCTTTATCAAACTGACAAAGGAGCATTATTATTTTTTTTTTTTAGTCAGAGTCTGACACGCAGGCTGGATCGACCTTCTGGGCTCAGGTGATCTTCTGCCTCATCTTTCCAAGTAGCTGGAACCACAGGTGTGTGCACTGCACTCCACTAATTTTTTTGATTTATTGTAGAGACGAGGTCTCACCAAGTTGCCCAGGCTGGTCTCAAATCCCTGGGCTCAGATAATCCTCTTGCCTCTGCCTCCCAAAATGCTGGGATTACAGGCATGAGCCACCACACCTAGCTGATAAAGGAGTTTAAATATACCAAGGCTAATGGAAACCAAGTTTCTACCAAAGAAGAGGGTTAGAAATATAGGAGGAAAATACAAATAAAATGAACTGGAATTAGAGATTATTTGTGTGAACCCATAGTTTTCAATAAATATAGAAGCAGAAGAAATATGTAAGTGTGTGTGTCTGCATAGTATTTCCTAGGAATGTCCATGAAAGGGCCTAAGAGCATCACAATATCAATGAGCACACTTGGAACTCAGATCTTCATTTCTAAGAACTACAAAGGACTCAGGGCTCCTTGGAGAAAGGACTGATTCCAGAACTGGAGTGGAGACAGTGTAAAAATTAGCCTGGAGCACTTCTTTGTGCCAGAGGTAAAGAAATGCTCAAATAATTATGGGGACTCTTGGTCCTTTATCAAACTGACAAAGGAGTTTTTTTTTTTTTTTTTGAGTCAGAGTCTCTGACGCCCAGGCTGGATCGACCTTCTGTATTTGTAACTTTTCCATACATTTGCTTCAGAATAAATGAATTACACTGTTGTTGTTGTTTTAATATGAATTTGCGGTCGGGCTTGGTAGTTAAGCCTGTAATACCAGCACTTTGGGAGGCCGAGGCGAGTGGATTGCCAGAGTCCGCAGGTTCGAGATCAACCCGGGCAAATTGGGGAGCCCTTGTGTCTACAGTAAAATAAAATAAAATAAAAATTAGCGCGGGTTACTTTCTCAGCCCGGGTTCATTCTTAGTTTTTCAGCACTTACAAATGAAAAGCACGACTCGGTGTCTCAAACCTCAGCTAACCCTCCCCCTCTCCGGACCTTGCTGAAGTTCTGCGTTTGCTTGCTCCGCTTTCCAAACATTTTGGGCCTCCAGCCTCCCCGAAGTCCTGCACCGGGGTCAAAGGCACCTACCTTCCTGCCTTTGACCGGTTCAAGCATCTCGCCTTCCCGGGACACCTTCTTCAGGGCATCCGGGCAGTCCGTTCTTCTCAAATTCTATTGGCTAAAACCCACGCCTCTCATCGCACTGGGGGTGGGGCAAGAGGGAAGGGCCCTCCCCGGACGCGAAAAGATGACGTCACAGAGGAGGGGCTGGGCGCCCTGGGTGGCTCAGGCTCTCCGTTCCCCGCAGGGTGCTGCCGGAAGAGCACTCGGTCGGCGACGCCGTCGCAATGACCGTTTGTCAATTCTTCCTTCAAGGCCGGTGCCGCTTTGGAGACCGGTGCTGGAACGAACATCCTGGTGCCAGGGGTGCGGGCGGAGGACGGCAGCAACCACAGCAGCAGCCCTCAGGTGACTCTCCCCTCAACCCTCGGCTGCCAGCCGAGCCGGGGAAGGCCCGCTGGGGACCCGGCCGGAGGGGACTCGCCGTCCCGCGTGTGTCCGGGGACTGAGCGCAGCGTCGCGGTCTGCCGGTCGGGTGACCCCAGTGTGCCCGCCTCGCGCCTCTGCCCAACCGGCCCCACGCGGTGTTTTTAACAGAGGTTTTTAATCCACGTGTTAGGCTGGGCGTCGTTTTTTGTGGGATGAATGGACCGGGGACGGGGGTGTGGCCCTGCATGCCTGGGCTAAACAATGAAGTTTAAATCGGAAGCATCTATCAAAACTACCTTGTAGGCGAATGAAAGAGTTCGCGTGGGTCGACACAGGGCCTCCTCGCTTTACTGCCCTCATGTGCACTTGGGTTTTTCCCTTGACACCTTGAATGTAATTTATACGAAATTACGTTTTCGAAGGAGAGGTTAAAAACAGGTCAGAATCGGAAGTCTTCGTTTTGGAGAAGTCGCGAACTCCTTTGCAAACTTAATAAAAAGCTGTAGAGCCATACCGCAGAAAAATGCAGATGCTCATAAAATTCGGGTTGAAATTGAGTAGCTGGGACTTCCGGTTAAGAATTCTCTGGATAGCCGGGCTCGGTGGCTCAGCCTGTAATCTCGCACTTTGGGAGGCTGAGGTGAGTGGATTGCTGAACCCCCAGGTTCGAGACCCGCCTGGGCAACTTGGCCAGACCTCATGTCTACAATAAATCAAAAAATTAGTCGGGCGTGGTAGCGCGTGCCTGTAGTTCCAGCTACTTGAAAGGCTGAGGTGGAAGGATCGCCGGAGCCCAGCAGACTGCGGTGGCCGGGAGTGGCCATTGCACTCCAGTGTGGGCGACAGAATGAGACCCCAACCCAAAAAAAAAAAACCTCTCTGGATTACGAGGGGAGGGGATGTGGGGACCACGTTGACCTGCTCCTTGGGCTTCGGTCATTGTCAAAGCTTTTGTTCTCAAGGAGAAGAGGGATCAGACAGGGAAGCATAGCACAATGCGAGATTTTAAAGGTTAGATGGGTAAGTTTTATGTCCTTAGGATTGGAGTTTAGCCTTTAGGGCTGTTCGTGTGTGATCCTTAAACCTTGTGTTTTATGGTGGTTTTAGGTCTGATCCCTCTAATCCTTTTGTACAATTGGTCTAGTGAGATATTCCAAACCAAAAATTAGGACTTGGTGTCTAATAAATGTGAATTTCCAGGAACAACAGAATATAATATTTGACATTCTTTGGAGACTTGCCCTAAATGTAGTAATTGGAAAAATAAATGTTGAATCTGTGATAGATTAATGGATGAAAAAAGTGTAACTAAAACTTGGCAAACAGCAAATGAATGCTTCTGGAATTCTGAGTAATGTCATCTCCAAAGAATTTGGAACTTTAGTAGAAAAGCAAGTGGTGGTTGTTTTTTTTTTTTTTTTTTTTTGAGTTAGAGTTGGAGTCTTACTCCATTGACCAGGCTGGAATGCAGTGGCACGCTCATGGCCACCCCAGCATCGACCTGCTGGGCTCAGGTAATCCTTCTGCCTCAGCCTCAGCCTTTCAAGTAGTCAGAACTACAGGCTCGTGCTACCATACTCGTCTACTTTTTTGATTTATTGTAGAGATGAGGTCTCACTAAGTTGCCCAGGCTGGTTTCAAACCCTTGGGCTCAGGCAATCCTCTCACCTCAGCCTCCCAAAGTGCTGGGATAACAGGCATGAGCCACTGTGCCCAGCTAGAAAAATAACACTATTAACTCCTACTTAAGGTATCTAACCCAGCAATGTCCTCTCTTTTCTTTTCTTTTTTTTTTTTTTTTTTGTAGTTTACAGTTGGAGGAGGAACTTTCTTAATTAGGCTTATGTCCCATCATTTCAATTTTTAATATATTTAATGGCATATTTCCTAATCCAGTCAAAAACAAGATGAATTACCTTAATTTTGGCTCTGACTAGGAAGTGATGAGTAAATGAGATTATTGGGTTTCACTTGATCCCAGCTTGATCCCAGCTCACCACTACCTTGACTTTCTGAACTGAGGCGATCCTTCTGCCTCAGCCTCTGAGTAGCTGAGACTACGGGCCTGGGCCACCACGCCCAGCTACTTTTTGTATTTTTTGTATTTTTTGTAGTGACGGGGTCTCACTATATTGCCCAGGCCGGAGATTGTTGAAGTGATAACATTAAAAACAGTATAGAGACAGATGGGAATCATTGTGGCTCATTTTGATATTTATGAAATATTAGAAAGCTACTCATAGAGGAACTCCATGCACTTTGTTTATATATAAATAACCTCTGTAATCTCTGAAAATAGGTGTTGTTTTCCCAGAGGAAAGACTGAGTCAAATAGACTTAAGCATCTATTTAAGGACAAAGGGTAGAATCTAACCTTTTTTTCATTCGGTGTCTATTTTCCAGCCTTTCCTATTATATAGGGCCCAGTGGGGGAGCACGGAATGATAACAAAACAGCTTTTTATCCTGAAGGAGCTTATGATTTAGGATGTATGCCCTTTATCAACTCCACTATCAAGCAGTTGTTTATTTAATAAGCTTATGTCAGCTGAACTTACTAACATATCATTATGTTTCTATAGATTTACAGTCCTTTCAATCTTATAAAACAAAAAATGCAATTAAACTATTATGTGATTTGTTAATATTATACCTAACTACTGTATGTAAATAAAAAATGAGATCGTCATAAGAGTGGAAATGTAGTGCTTGTTGAATCTTTGTATAATGTCTAAACCGTAAGACAAAATATAACTAAGATTTTTTAGTTAGAAGAGGAGTTGTTAGTAAAATTCTTATTTTGTATCACTTTATTTTAGGTAGTAACAGACGTGGATGGAATAACACCAGCCAGAGATACTCCAATGTCATTCAGCCATCCAGTTTCTCCAAATCCACACCATGGGGGGGCAGCAGAGATCAAGAAAAGCCATCCTTCAGTTCTTTCAGTTCTGGAGCTTCAACTAACAAGAATGGGAGCTTTGGATTGTCTAAGAACCCATTTGCTTCACTTAGCTCTGATGAGCAGAAAGATGAAAAGACACTTCTGTAAGTGAAAGCCTCCAGAAATTGGCTTTTTTTTTTCTTTTTTTGAGTTATAGTCTCACTCTGTTGCCCATGCTGGAGTGCAGTGGCACACTTATGACCACAGCAGCCTCAACCTACTGGGCTCAGGTGATCCTTCCGCCTCAGCCTTCCAAATAGCTGGAAACACCACGCCCAGCTAATTTTTTTTTTTTTTAATTCATTGTAGAGACGAGGTCTTGCCAAGTTGCCCAGACTGGTCTTTAACGCCTGGGCTCAGGTAATCCTCTCACCTCAGCCTCCCAAAGGTTAGCCGTGCTTGGGTTCCTTCTAACTTAAGAGTCCTTTACAAAGTATGAGGTAATTTAGAACAACATGTGATCTTGGAGGTCATATATAATGTCTCTTATTTCTTTCTAAAACTTTTACTTAGATTACCTTTTCCCAGCCTGGGCAACTTGGCAAGACCTCGTCTCTACAGTAAATTAAAAAAAAATTAGCCAGGCTTGGTAGCACGTGTCTGTAGTTCCAGCTACTTGGAAGACTGAGGTGGAAGAATTGCTGGAGCTGGGGTGGCCGCGAGTGTGCCACTGCACTCCAGCCTGTGTGACAGAGTGAGACTCCAACTCAAAAAAAAAAAAAAAGATTACCTTTTCAAATTTGTCTCATTTGATTTCCTTCGTTTATTATGGAGTAAGTAAATTCATGACATTTCTTAAGAACATTTGTGGTAAAATATATTGCTGGTGTCAAAACATTGCTTGGCTGTCTATAACGTTTCCTCAGCTAATGGCACATAGAATGGAATTTAAGATATTTGGTTAGTCTTTTACTTCCTATAACTAAACTATAACCAGTGGTAAACATTTTGAGCCATGTACCATATACAATTGATTTTTTTTTTTTTAAGTAACAAACAAAACCCTCCTTCCTATATTAGTAGCAGTCCTAAATTTAATACAGTATTCTCTGTGATAGCTTTCATTTTATTAATTGTCACATTCTGGCTGGGGGTAGGGGGAACTTTAAATTTAGAGCTATGACACAAATTAATTTATGGGTGTGGGTCTGTTTCCACTGTTGCAAAATGTGAGAATTAGACAAAATGATCTCTGAAGTCCTATAACTCACTTTTTTTTTTTGAGTTGGAGTCTCACTCTGTCACACAGGCTAGAGTACAGTGGCATGCTCACAGCTACCACAGTCTCCAGCTGCTAGGCTTAGGCAGTCCTTCCACTTCAGTCTTTCTTGGAGCTGGAATCACAGGCATGCGCCACCACACTCGGCTAATTTTTTGATCTATTGTAAAGACAAGGTCTCGCCATGTTACTCAGGCTGGTCTTGAACCCCTGAGCTCAGGCAATCCTCTTGCCTTTGCTTCCCAAAGTGCCGGGATTATAGGCATGAGCCACCGCTCCCGGCTTCATTCTTTTTTTTTTTTTTTTTTTTTTTTTTTTTTTG